ACCAGAGGGGCAGTACTCACAGCCGGGTATGGGTTCAGGGTTTACGAACACATACTGTGAAAGACTACTGTCCTCTATATATCTGAACGAATCACTGACCGCTTGATAAAAGGCTTCCCTATCGGGGTTGGCAGTCATCAATTGGGGATTAAGTATAGGTACGTCCGTAATATCGGTGCTGTTTAACCGGATAGTACCGCAACTTTTAGGTCTAACCAAGGTGGGCACCATAACTAGCAGATTGTATTTTTGTAAATTAGCTAGGTATTGAGCCCAAGCATCGACATCTGCGTAAGAAAATGTATCTGAAAAGTCTGTGGTGTTTTTATAGTTTACACTGGCGTATAATAATAAATCAGGATGATCATGGTCTGTGTTATAGCTGGATGAATAAAATAGTGTAGCAATAGGACCATATTGTGCCAAAACACCTTGGCCCTGTACGTCAGCCTGGTATAATTGTTGTGTTTCAAGTTTAGGTGGTTCATTAAGCAAATTATCATAACGTATTAAAGCGTTATTTTCTGTAACCAGGTGCTCGCAGTAGTTATTTCCCACGGGTAAGTTTGAATATATTGGTTCAATTCCGAGTTGAGCAAGGTGATCTCGAATCCCAATGCCTGATAACATTAGTAGTTGCGGCGATGCTATGGGTCCTAAGGTTTAAACATTCAATTTAATTATTTTATTATAAACATGTACATTTTATAACACAAAACGTGTATTTGTAATATATATTTGAGAATAAGATTGTGATTTAAAATAGATTTTAATTTATGAATATAAAATACTGTTATTAATACATACCTGCTGAAACAATAACCTCGGAGTTAGCCAGCACACTATAAGTACGGTTATTTTTAATATACCGAACCCCATACGCCATGGGTTGATCATCAACGTCATATTTTATTAAAATTTTATCTACCAGTGCCCTGGTCACAATTGTCACGTAAGGACATATACCGCTTTCGAGATACCCGTTCGCAGTGGACGAGCGTATGCCCTGTTTAATAGTGGACTGGGCTATAGTTACACCTACTTGCGTGCGCCCATTGATGTCTATAATATGATGACCTTGTTCAACTGCTGCGTCAACAAATTTTTGTGTCGCGGGATCAGGTAATGCCGCTGTGGACACACCTATAGGTCCATTGCGACCATGATATACATCGCTTAGAGTCGGGTCGCTATTATTTTCTGTCCTTTTAAACAACGGCAGTACATCCTTATAGGCCCACCCATAGCCCCCGTACTTCGTGACAATATTATCGTAATCTTTGTGATTACCCCTAAAGTAAGAAATCAAAATAATCTAATTTTAAACTTATGCTTTTACACTGATCAAATTAAATATCATAGCCAATTATAATACTGAATAAATACCTATTTTTAGTAACATAAATTATTATTGTAAATGTTTGTTGTAGTCACAAATTGCTTTAATTTAATATAACAGGATAAAATAATTATATTGAGAGATATAAAACATAAATTACCTTGTATACATCATAAAATTAACTGACGACCCACCACCTAATATCATGCCCTTAGGCTCAGGTATTAGCCCATTGGCATACCCGTGGCCAACCAATTTCTGGGGCACACTGTAATAGGGCCATAAATATGTACCACTATTTAATACGGTCATTTCAATACCCGGGTGATCTGTAAGGACAGCGTCCTGAGCCCCACCCGCCTCCAGAAGCAACACCTGTTTTCCCCATTGGGACAGACGACAGGCCACTATAGAGCCCGCACTACCGGCCCCCACAACTACAAAGTCATAGTCCCTTTCCGGTGGGAATGGTGTTCGTGTGGCGTAATAGTCGTGTCGTTGCTGTCTTTCCCATATAATGGAGAATACTGTGAAGTATTGCACACCCAATGAAGGTAAGGTTAAGGGTGAAGGTGCTGGCGCTGGTAGTTTGTGTAATAGAGTATGCATTTGATATAATTTATTTAAAATTAGTAATTATAAATACAATAATCAAAGTTCTATAAATACAAGTTTATTGACATACAGTATGTAGACCAGAGACTTTCAAAAGTTGATAGCATTCACATTTAGTAATGCTATAAGTATTACTATTTGTAATAATTTGTAATACGTGGAATTGGCTGATGTAGACCATGTTGATTAGTGAAATGTGCTAAAAATAGGTCTTTTAGAAATAATCATTTATATCATACAATACTTTATCGTAACCCATATAATACTTGAATCAATGTAATGGATTTAAAATTAGTTAAGGTTTTTAACATTTATATTTTTATTTTATAAGTAATTAATACATTATTAGTATTTTTTAAAAAATATTATTTGTATTTAAGTTCAATACCGATGGCAAGGATAGTGAGGGCAATGAAAAGCATTTTGTGGGTTGAAAAATAAAAAGTTTACAACTTTTCTATTTGCTTGTTCACTTGATTCTGGACTACTTGAGTCGACTGATGTTTTTTACTTTTGCTTTTTTGCTTTTATAGTAAATTTTTTGCATTAAAACTCAACAGTGATTTCATTCACCATTTAGTGATTGCATAATAATTATAATCATTATTATTTAAAAGAACATCAATTTTTGTTAGGATGCTAACGATACCAGTTGTTTGCAATATGCTAGCACATTTTTAAAAAGTTTTAGTGATTTTGTTATGAAATTAATTACAAGTTCATGGTTACATGCAGTTCATACATATTTTGTCAATGAAGTTTTCAAGCAATTAAATTGAGTTGTATAATATTTTTAAGTTTTATTTTTATTATGTATTTTGGTTTAACCAAAATTTATATATTATCTTTATTATATTAAATTATGTTAATTATACTAACAATTATAAATATTTTATATTTTTTATAAAAACATATTAGCAATTTACAATAAATAAAATACTTTAAAATAAAAGGTTTATTATTCAATATTAAATAATACATGAATTAATTAAATTAATCTAAACCTCATTTAATTCTGAACAAACAATTATACAATTATGTGAAACTTTTTTATAAATAATTTTTTTTATATTTTAATAAGTATTCTATTAATAAATAATTTTGCTTAATATGTAATTAAAGCAATTAATATTTAGCTAGATATGACTATACTTATAGCAATTAAAGAAATGAAATAAACAACCAAATATTGTATAATATTTATTAGTATAATATTAATATAAGTATTATATTAGTTAATGTTAATTTTCTCAATAATACATAGTTTATCACATGCTACTAGTACACATAACATAATTATATTTTCACTATGTCAATTATTATACTTAGTTTATTTTTATCATGTGAATTATTGCATATATTAATAAACTTATCTAATTAACAAATACTATAATACAATATAAATTAAAATAAGTATCATAATTTTGAATTAAAACAATGCAACGTAAACAACATAATTACTAATTAAATATTTATTTATTTTAATGTGTTTTTTATTATACACTAAAACAATATGATTGTGCAATAGATTTCTGAAATAAGTTTTCAAAGTAAACTTAATAATTATATTCCTGTTTCTGACAAAGTGATTGTAAGTACATAAAATAATATTTAAAACTTAAACTAAATATACAATAATAATTATTGACAAAACAATGAGTTCAGTATTAACGCTCAAATCACCTAGACAAACACTAATGAATCTAAATGTCGATATATTTCGCAAACATGGTCACAAAACTCGTCAACTTAATGATGAACTAGAAACATTTCACAAATTAGAAATGTTTCTGGCTAACACCTATTTTCTCATATCGCCTACATTTCACCACTACATCACCGGTCAGTTCCCACTCAAACGGATATACATAAGCCAGGTCATCAAATTTATGTCTATATTAACATTAATTCGTTATAGTGCATCGGTGTTATTTAACACCCCGTACATATTATACCTAACCTCTAATGCCAACTATTTATTAGGCAACCACCTTATCATATCTATAATATTAGCTGCCGGTGCTATTATATGCAACCTTATGGTCGGGTACATTTTCTACTACTATGAGATTAACAAAAAGTTTTATGCTATTCAATACTTTTATAATATACAAAACAATTTACTCAATAATGAATTACTGAGTACATTGAGGCAAAAATTTTATTATCGGATGAATTTAATTTTAAGCTACCTGTGCTATCCATTTCTGGCCATAACGTCTACCAATGCTAGCATAATATTCCTATCGCCGCCATTTATAGCTTACTTCTGGGACCCCAACCCTCCCACAGAATATTCTCTAATATTGTCCATCATTTGGCTAATCATAGGAATCGTGTGGTTAATAGACTTCTATGGGGTCATCGTATCTGAAGGTATGTGCTGCTGGTACCTGTCCCTCACGTATTTGAAATACCAGTTCATTAAAACTGAAGTCCAGTTTAAGTGGGCCGTAGTGCACCGAGACTTTACTCTACTTACCCGTACACTACGTGAACATAACGAGTGCTGTATAACTGTTACAAAAATTAATGAATGCTTTAAATATATATTACTAGTCACCTATACGTTTGCGAAACCGGCTATAAATCTATTACTATATGTTTCATACGTGTCCCCCGACTCTAACCTATACACCCGTATTTGCGCCGGTATTGTGTTTGTGGTCGTGTTTTCAGTCATAATACTAATGAACATAATGTGTGCGTCGGTATCGACGGCTGCCCACAGTGTCGGCAAAGTTATGTATAAATACGTGGACTTTCATAATAGACCTAAACTGTCAATAGGGCTGAGACTGAAAATTATGTCGTTTATTGAGAAGTTGACCGAAAGTCATATCGGTTTCACGTGCGGGAACTCATTCCCGATAAATAACTACGAGTTTTATGTGTTTGTGTGCGGGTGGGCCTACCAATACTTTCTTATAATTGACCTTTTACAGAAAAACAATGTTATAAGCTATTGAATAATGTGTTGGATAATAATTTGTACAATCATTAAACATTATATTGACAAAAACCAGCTTAAAATATACATGTAGATTTTATTTAGAAAAATAAAATAACGTACACAATTGTAATTAGTTTAAATCAAACATTAATTTAATAATAAGTTTATTGATCGAGTATAAAAAGCAATTAAAATTGTTTACTTAAAATATAATGTACATGCATATTCACATTTAAAATAGAGTTTTTAATTGTCCTGCATGAATTGTAATCTATTTTATTTTTATTTATTTACATGATTGTGAAGTTACATAAGAAGTTATATAATGTTTTATAAGAAATTAATGATCATGTACAAAATTAAATTTATGTTAAATGGTGTTTATAATTACTCAATGTATTATATTTATTCACATTACGGCATATAAAAATAAATAATTCTTTAAGCTAACAATTTTAAAATTATAATATTTTATTTTATTTTAATAACTCTCGGTTGAAATGAACTTTCTATGACCAGGCTCAGTATTGTCCTCATATACCATAACCGCCCCCTTCTCCCCGACCAACATCGCCGGTGCGTTTGTATTGGCGTTAATGATCTCCGGATATACCGACGAATCGACTACCCGTAACCGCTTCACACCCTTCACCCTAAGCCTGGGGTCGACCACAGTGTCCGACCTATAGGGGTCACCCATTTTACAGGTGCCCACCTGGTGTTGCAGTGTATTTCCCAACTGTCGGATATAACACTCTAAATACGGCCGACATTTAAATACCGGACCAGAGGGGCAGTACTCACAGCCGGGTATGGGTTCAGGGTTTACGAACACATACTGTGA